TTATTCTCCTGTAACATTCTATGTACATCTTTATTCTTAATGTTCACATTTTAAATGAGCGTTTGTATGGCTCACACTCCCATAGATAGGTTCAAGGTCTTTGTACCTTTGCTGTTTGTCATGTGTTACCTTTTATTTGTTCCATTAGGCCTCAAGTAATAATAGGAGTCATAGATAATAACTTAACGTCATAGGGTAAGTGATAGTGTAAATAACTTATCTAGGCCTGTGCCAAGATTTTGTAACAAGAAAGGCAGGATTTTGGACTAAGTATAGCTAGTGGTTATAAGCAACAGTTCTGGAGCCAGAAGCCTTACTTTTGTTAGGGTGTATCCATCTGATCACATAAAAACTATGATTTCCCCATTAGTCCATTATTAGAAAATGCATCCTTTAGTATTTTAGGAGTCTCTGATTACTTTGATGAGGTATATGGTACTACATTCTAGGATAGTATGTTCTGTTTTCTGATGGGAAATGCTGTTGACTCCTGGTGACTGACTTGATTGATTTTTAGGTGAGAAATTAGGAGGTTGTTTTTGTTTGCTTTGTGTTTCCAGAACTTTTTATGTTAAAAGAGTGCTTCCAAAAAGGACTGCATTACAGCTATGTTTAAATAACAGCTGTATTAAGTCCTTTACCCTCCTAACCCCATCCCTTATAATAATAAGAAACGTGGCTTCTTGAAAAAAACTGAAAAACATATAGGCTTTTGAACAGAATAATGCAAGTCATTTAAATTAGTTGTGGTTGCAATCATGCTCTGTAACCTTTAAATCAAAGAAAAATTCCTTGGTGTATCAAATGTAAGAACAATGAAATTCCAATTTATCAAAATCTTAGTTGAAGATTCTGACTTTACACTTAAGTTGAAGAAAGAATAGAAATAGAGGGTCACTTTTTTTTTTGGTCATTTTTTGGTTGTGGTCTTACAGACCAAACTCTTTTCTGTAAGAAGGTTCTACTAATTACTATCCAAATTTCATAGGAATGATTATCATATTTATATGTCTTTAATGTTTTTATTATAAAACTATTATAAATACATGAATTAGGAAAGTAGAAAAAGAAGAAGAAAAATCACCCAAATTCTTACCATGTAATGCAATTGTTATTAACAAGTTAGCATACTTATTTAATATTTTTGTTCATCTATGAATATGATATAGTGGTATGGACTTTTAAATGCATAGTTGTAATCATACCTCTACATAAATATGTACTGATCATTCTTGAATATAGTATTTTATACATTTATATAACATAATTTATATATACATTTATATTTTATAGTATTAATGCCTTTATAAACTTTATCAGCATATTTTTTACACAACTATGCAATAGTCATTGATTTCCTCTAATCTGGTGATTATACAGTTCTGTAATCCAGGGTACTCAGAGAGATCATCGCTTATTCTTTCTCTTCCCCTATACGACAGGGCTGGTAAAAGAAAGATACAAATGTTGTCTACTTGTCACATTTCTTTTGCTCCCTAATGATGCTTCTATATAAAAATCTCTCCCATCCTTATATTTTAATTCTTTACTTGAAACTGAAGTTCTTGAGCTTTACTACCTTAAAGCTGTGATTGATCTTGATTTTTGCCCATATTTCCTATTGCTATTGGCCATCTTTCCCACTTTTCCTAAGTTCTTTATGATCATGTGCAATTTCATATTCATATAATTAGTCCACCCAACACTACTTAATAATTCTTCAACAATATAGATGACTTCCACCCCCACCCTTCTTTACCCTGTGACAATACCCAGTCATGTCTCAAAACTTCACCTCTGAAATCTTAAATCCCTAAATCCCTCTCTCTGATCACAGTCTTCAATACTTTTTTTGTAAAGTGCCTTTTTTCTTTATTGCTGATTCCATTCTTTTGACTGCTGTCTTCTGTTTTCTAAATTATCAGGTTCCGTCTAACCTTATTTCTTTGCTTATCCCCATAGTGCCCTACAAGTTCTGTCCCTTCTTTCACTCTCAACTTTACTGCCAACTTTTAAACCTTTAGTTCTTTCTTCACACCTGATCTACAAAATCTCAACCTCTATTGGGTCCAAATATTATTCCCTTTTGTTTTAGCCATTAGGCTATCACTCAACTGAATATTAAATTAGTGATACTCCAAACTTACACTCTCCATCCTCAGCTGAAACAGCATGTTTTCTGACACACTTACATTACATACTCCCCTAGTACTTAGTCAGCTCTCTCACATTTCTCTGATTGGATATTCCAGTCTTTGGATTGTTTTCCAGAAAACACCATTCAACTCCCATCTACCTTTGACCCATGTATTAGATGATGTTGCCTTTTTCACTCAGATGGGAAAATATCAGCAAGTAATTTCCCTAAGTTAATAAGCTATATCTGTGAAAATCCTACCATAAACACCATATGCAGCAGTGAAACTGTCAACATTCCTATTGAAGTCAGAAGGAAAAATAATCAGCTCATTACTACCCATATATTTCAATAGCATGTTGGAAATCCTAGCCAATGCAGTAAGACTGGAAATATATAGAAGAGATAAGAATTGGAAGCAAATGGCAATAATATTTTCATGTGGGAATAAAGATATTTGAGTGGGTACAGGAGAAGAAATGTAAAGCTCATTAAAGTGACTAAATTTACTACCTACTGGTCCATGTGGCAAAGAGGTATGCCATCAAACAGGTATGATGATAACCCATGTCAGCTGAGTTTTAAATCTGAACAGCTTGGTGGGATGATTTTAGTTGTGGAAAAAAAGTAATGAGCTATTATGAGAATCCTAAGGGAAATTTTGTACTGAAAAATGATCATCAGCCTGCTAATTATAATGAGCTCAACTTTAGCATTTTGGGGGCCATTTAATCTCAAATTATTATTGTTTTTTTATTTTCAAATGCTCAAAGATGTTTTTTGTTGTTGTTGTTGTTGTTTTTTTGCTTTTGCTTTTCTTTAGTGTGCTAATACCCTACAAAGAGGAGATACTTTATTTTCATCTTCCCTCTTTTCTTCTGTCCTTCTTTCTTTCCTTTTGAGTATGATACAAGATGAATTATCCCTGAATCTTTGTTTTCCACTTTTTGTTGTATTAACAAATACATAACTTAGCTTTCCTAAAATCCACATTATCTTCTAATTTTAGATTAAAATTTCTTTATCTCATTTGTTGTTTAATGGAACTAGATAAAGTAATACAGTTTTCTCCTTTTGCCCTCCTCTTCTTCTTCTTTCCCCAACCCTGTCTGTTCATCTTTCTGTCCTACTTTGTCTTGATTTAACCCTGGAATAATTTCAGTTGGCTCTTATTAAAGCCAAATGAAGTAGTTGGGCTTATTATCTGTCATTGCATCTATCCGTCTATCCATCCATCCACCCATCCACTCATTAGAAAGTCATTTCACCTATATCTAAATGTGAAATTTCTATATAATCGATCTTAATTTGTAAATATATAGAAAAAATTACATCTGTATGTGTATTTCATCTTTTGGCTGTTTCTTCTTATAGTTATATTTCTAAGATTCACATTTGTACTACATTTTGTTTAAAGGTTATATCTCTATTTTCCTGATAGGCCTGTGGAGACCAGACCTTGACATTCTACGTGAAGGTTTAAATGAATTGTTGAACGTTGCAGATATATTTTCAACTAACCTCTACGTTCAACCCTCCTGCAATGCCTTTCCCCAGATCTTGTGTGCCTCCGTCTTGAGCTTCTCTGGGGCTCCACCATGCTCATACATTCTCTTCTCATCAGAATTCCCTTTCCTGTCCTTCAGGGTATGACTTTCCCTAAATCAGTTCATCTTCTTCCATGAATCTTCTAACTTTTCAAATCATAGACAAGGTGATTTATTCTTTTATTTAAATTTCATTTCTGGCCACTAGTTTTTGTTTCTGGCGAGAGAAAAAAGTCACAAGCAGTCAGCTAACAATCTTTAATTAGGGCAACCTCTGCATTAAATTGTTTTCAGAAACAAAATAAACATCTGGCAGATGGATTTACAGGTGAAATCAAATCCCCATTTCATCATTTTTAGTAGTTATGTAATCTTTGGCAAATCATTTTACCTGTCTATGCCTAGCTTGCTTCATCTATAAAAAGAGCTTAAAATTTACTTTATAGGGATGTGGAAATTATATAATATATATGACATATATATTTATATATATGTCCATAATAGATATTATAATAAGTTCTGTCATTTGAAAAAAACATTAAAACATGTGCTGGAAATATTATAATTCATTTTGTTAAGTGATCTTTTTCAAGTATATATCTTAACTAGTAAACTAGTATATAAATTTCTGACTAAAGAGTACTAGTGATTTTAGACATTGCCATCTTTACTGATAATTTAAACCAAAAGAACAACTATTTTGCTGAAATTTTTATATTAAATAATATTTCAATATCCTATACTCTGCAGATAGACCGTCTTATTATTCAATAAATTTTCAAAGAAAACTTCTTCAATTTTTCAAATACCACTGATGGTTCTATGTCATATTTGTTAATATGGTTTTTCATAAATAAAATTTCAAAATTTTATTAACTACAAATATATATAAGCCCAAGACTGTCTCATATATAGTTTACTTTATACTATTTCTTTGAAATCAAGTTCTTAAGAATTGAAAATATTTAACATAATTGTCACTTTTTTATATTTACATTTTCTAAGTTGTGATTAGTCATTTGTCTTATAATTAAAAGTAGTATTTATAAAATATATTCATATAGTATGACTTTTGAGAAGTGGATAATTGGTAAAATAATTTCACCTAAAATGTGATATCAAAAAGGATATTAACAATTTATTGACTTATACATATACATTTTCCCCTAAAATTGCATTTATTGGAGCCAAATTTCACAGTTTAATACAATATATTTTAGTGGAGGCAACTTTCATTTTCATTCCTACTATTAATATGTAGTATAAATATTTACATTTTCTTTCATACATATGATAATTAAAGTTTATGTTTCTAGGTATAGCTTACTTGAGTGGAATGTGCAGTGAAAAGAGAAAATGTGTTATTGCTGAAGACAACGGCCTGAATCTTGCATTTACAATTGCTCATGAAATGGGTCACAAGTAAGTAAAAATCATGGCTATGTTAAATATTTTAGCATATACATTTGTAATTTGAGTTATTGAAATACATGACTATATTTTGATTATTTTCTTTGGGCTTCAAGTTTTTGAAAAATTAGGGAAACAAGAAGACCATCTAATTTTAAAGAGTTCTGAATGTTGTAACCATTCCTGATTCTTTGAGTAAGATCTTACTACATCATTAAAACCATCACGACCGTCATTACGTGTATGATTGATTTCACTGTACATTTTTAAACAATATAAATATTTCAATAACCACAAGGCTGTAATGCTATATAGTTTTTAAACATTCACTTGGCACAAGTGAAACTACTTCCAGTCTATAATGGTACCTATGTTTGTTATTTTTTATTTTTTTGAAACAGAGTCTCACTCTGTTCCCTGGGCTAGCGTACTGTGGCATCAGCCTAGCTCTCAGCAACCTCAAACTCCTGGGCTCAAGCATCCTTCTGCCTCAGCCTCCTGAGTAGCTGGGACTACAGGCTTGTGCCACAGTGCCCGGCTAATTTTTTGTGTATATTTTTAGTTGGCCACCGGCTAATTTTTTGTATATATTTTTAGTTGGCCAATTAATTTCTTTCTATTTTTAGTATAGATGGGGTCTTGCTCTTGCTCAGGCTGATCTTGAACTCTTGAGCTCAAATGATCCGCCTGTCTTGGCCTCCCAGAGTGCTAGGATTACAGGTGTGAGCCACTGCGCCCGGCCCCTATGTTTGTTATTACCAGGCACAGAGTAAAGGAATTAGCCTGCATAGTTTAGGTGAAATGTACTTGAAAGAAAAATTAAATTAGACTCATAATTAACATGTATTGAATATCAACTATGTCTCAGGCACAGTTCTAAGAACTTTACATAGATTAGTTCATTTAGTAGAAAAACCAAGGAGTTAGTTACTTTCTAATTCTCATTTTATCAATAATATTAATAATGGCAATAATTATTAGCAATAGCAAACTTATATAGCACTTACTATGTGCCAGACACATTTCTAAGTGCTTCTATATCCTCACAGTAATTCTGTGATGTGATGTTAGTGTGCTCATTTTACAGGAAAGAAAACTGTAATATAGAGATGTTAATTTATCCTCCCAAAGTTATAAAAATGGTAATTGCTGAAGCAAGGGCTTTGAACTCAAGCCATTCAACTCAGGTCCCATTTACTGTTCCAAATTTCAACATTGTCTGATATCTTTGTGCCTTAGATTCCTCATCAGTAAAATTGGGATAATACCTTTGTTATGAGATTCATTTGGAATTCAAATTGCATAAAAGCTATGCATATATTTTCAGGAAGTTTATTAAAATAGAAAAGACATGAGTTGGGAAATCAGACTTAATTTTCCCTAATTGTTACCATACCAGCAGTACACGAAAGCGTTTTTAACTGGACTGAAGTTTAGCGAAGTCCTTCTCAGGGAGGTGATCTTTGTGGAAGCCTCTTTGGTCAGAGACACATTTAGTTTGTCCTTCAATGTTTATGAAATTGAACTAGTTACCAACATTAAAAAAGTCTAAATTGGACATAAAAATTAAAATTTGCAAACCTGGCAACACTTGACCCACAGGCCCACGTGGCGACCACTCCGAGCGCCGCGGCACGTCTGTGCCTTCACGTAGGAAAAGGCGCGTCCCCAGCGGGGCGCAGGCTGCTGCGCCCTGGCACGCTGCGCCCTGGCACGCTGCGCCCTGGCACGCTGCGCCCTGGCACGCTGCGCCCTGGCACGCTGCGCCCTGGCACGCTGCCGCCCTGGCACGCTGCGCCCTGGCACGCTGCGCCCTGGCACGCTGCGCCCTGGCACGCTGCGCCCTGGCACGCTGCGCCCTGGCACGCTGCGCCCGGCTCGCAGCCCTTCACCTTACGTCTTGGACTCTTGTAGGCAAGTACGTAAAGTTGAGTTAGCAGTTGAATTTGATTGGTAGAAGAAAGCTTAGAAGAAACAATTATGCCGGCCAGGGCAGTGTTTGATTAAAAAAATTATTCAAGTAAACTCAAGTGATCGAATCATAATTATACAGCTCCATGAATTATCAAATACTGTAAATAGCAATGTATCCATAACCCACCTCAAGAAATAGGGCATTATTAGCAGTGATTGATATTTAAAACTTTTTTGATTGACCAAAAAATGTGTATATTTTTTATGTATAACACGTTGTTTTGAGCTGTATATAAATTTTGGAATACTAAATCAAGCTAATTAACATACATCTTACCTTGCATACTTGTTTTTTTTGGTTGTAGTGAGAACACCAAATCTACTCTTAGTAATTTTCAAGTGATTGATGTGTGGTGTCACTGTTTTTAAATATATAGAAATACAGAAGAGAGGGATTGGTCCCAGGATTCCCACTTATAGCCAAATTCACAAATTCTCAAGTCCAGAAGTTGGCCCTGAAGAACTCAAATATACAAAAAGTTTTCCTTCTTTATATGCAGGCTTTGCAACCTGAAGGTACTGTATATTTTATCCACAGTTGGTTGAAAAAATCCAAGTATAAGTGGACCTCCACAGTTCAAAGCAGTGTTGTTCAGGGGTCAACTGTCCTTTCATATTCTCCAATGTGGACCTTTAATCTTCAGCTGGCTAATCAAGAATATAGGGAGTTAATTTGTTACTTAAAAAAATATATATATATATGTTAAAATCATCATCCTTAATGGAAAATATGCAGTACAATAAACTGTTTAATATTGAACTCCAGAAATGATAGGATTTAGATTCTTATTTCCATTATAATTTTAATAATTGAAAAGTATTTTCAGTTCAGTTATATTATTATATGATAAACCATGGGCATCATTGAAGGGAAAATGCTACGAATAATGTTTAGAGGCAAGAAAAAGTTATTAATAAACAATTTTAAGAAGAGAAATACAAATGAATCATACATCCAATTGCTATAAAAGAAATGCAAATTTCTGAATAATAATTTGTACGCTTTAGCTCTGCATTAACAGCTTGATAAGCAGTTTGAACATATTTTCATAAGAAGACATTAAATAATTTTGTCAGGTATCTTGAATAGTAGAGGGTTTACTTTAAAAAGTATATGTTTAAACATATGTTTAAAAATAGATGTGCAAAATTAAATTCTTTCGTCTCTGTTGTATTCAGATGTAGAAGAAACAACAATTAAAGGAACCAAACATGATACAAATTAATTTATTAAGAACTAAAGTCTTGATCAAGAAGCAACAACTATTTAAACCAAAAACCTAATGAGATAATTTAAGGAAAGGCCACTTCAGCTTCATGTAGTAGAACCACTGGTTTATGACCAGGAACTCAAGTTGAAATGGCTAAAATGGTACTAAAATATTATTTTATTTGACTTTTATAGAGCTGTACCCAAAATCAATAGAGATGTGCCAAAGGTGTGTGTAATGCTTGATGGATTAAGACCGGGACATGTGATATATGTTGAACTATCCAGTTACTAAAATTCTCCTGAGCAATAAGCAATATTTGTTACAAAAGTAAAGGCTAGTGTTTCCTTGATACCAGAGAGTGAAAGACAATAGCAGTCAGAATAAAGTCACTTTTTTTAAAAAAAAGAAAAGAAAATTACATCATCATCATCCAGTGTAAGGTACAATATAAGAAGAATGATGAAAAAGGAAATTTAAATAAATGTTCATATACTCATAGCTTCTCACATAGGGAAGTCCTTATAGATACCAGATAGCTGTATCTACAGACCCCTGTGTGGGCGCTTATGCGCCCACACTCTAGGCAGAGCCTTTAGCGGGAGGTGTGATTGAATCAGCTACTTCAGAAACTTAAATCTTATTTTTTTCCGGCTTTTGTATTTCTTTCTTTTTTGGTTAAATTATATAAGTGGGAACTGTTTCTAGAAATTAATTACAAACTGTATTATCATATGATTCTGTAACCCACAATTTTAGAATGGCAGAATTATTTTATTTAAACTTTTCGAGAATACTTTTATAATGATACATGAGAGTTTTCTAAACTGATTTTAGATGAGTGTATTTATATTTGTTGACTTAAATTTGATTTGTAGAAATTCCCAGAACAACTCCACATATAGCTGGAAAAGTCAATATGGGTTACTAGGTAAGAAAAAGTGACTCCTGGGGGTGAGGATTTGAGTAATTAATGAGAACGAAAAATCCTTCTGTTACTATTGCAAAGGAATCTCAAGCAGTGTCAGCAAAAAATTATTGATCTTTTTCCTTTGGGAAATTATCAATTTAAAAATAATCTTATATACAATTGAAAATGTAAGTTAAAATCTGTAGTAAGACAGAGGAAATAAATTATTTAAACCAACAATTTTTGATTCCCTTTCAAAATTATTTTCCTTTCTAAACAAACACTAAAGGGAGCTATTAATTTCTTTGTAACCAAAATTTTTGCCAAGGCAATGTTTATTGATAGTACTAAATTAATATATACTTATGAAATATAAATGGGTTCTTCTAAAATGTACTATGATGATATTTAAAACATTATTTTTATGAATAAAAATACCTTAGAATATTGCTCATGAATTTGATGGTTTGTTAAATGCGTATGGCTTATGCACATTGTCACTAACCTATATATTTTATATGATTTTTATGCACAAAAATTTGTTAAAGTAAGAGTTTTATTTTCATTTTAGGACATAAGTTAATAATATATTACCTGTGATTAGATCATTCTGTTGGCGGGTGGGATTCCCAAGACCACTCTCAGGTTAATTGATTTGCTAGCAGAACTTACAAAACTCGGCAAAGCTGTTTTACTCACTGTTACAGTTTATTACCTTGTAATAATTACCTTGTTAGTAATACATTAGTAAATGTGTTAGTAAATGTATTACTAACACATTTTTGTATAGTTTTATATTTTCTCTCCGGAGCTCGCTACTTAACACTTTAACCCATCTGGAATTTATTTAGTGTATGTCGTAAGGATATAGATTAAAATCACCAAGGGAAAATGTCCCATGAGACACCAGCCTGTAG